GTGTCATAAAGCTAACCACTCACTTATAATGCTGTCTAGCAATCCTACCTCCAGGTATTTACCCAAAAGAAATGAAAACATATGTCCACACAAAACCTGTATGCAAATRTTTATAGCAGTTTTATACATAATGACCTAAAACTGGAAACAACCCAAATATGAACTGGTAAATAGAGTGTGATATATGCATGCACTGAAATACGACTCCGTAACAAAAACTACTGATATGTGGCCACAACATGGATGGGATCTTAAATGCATGTTAAGTGCAAGAAGCCGGACATAAAAGACTCCATGTTATGATTCCATTCAGGGGACATTCTGGAATGTCATCAACCTCCTCCCACCATTTGCTTACTAAAAAACTTCTGATAGTGTTTCACTGACTGCAAAATAAATTTAAATGGCTTTACTTGTGACAAAAACACCTGACAAGAACAACTTAATGAAAGAAAAGTTCACCTGGGGCTCATGGTTCCAGAGGTTCAATCTATGGTCAGTCAATTCCATTGTCTTGGGCCTGAGATGAGCAGAACATTTCACCTCTGAACATTTCTACATTGCCTAATACACGAGCTTTTTAGGGAATATTAAAGATCCAAGCTATAACACATGGAATGGAATGTCCTCTATAATCTATCCACAATTTACTTTTCCAACTTTAACCCCGAGATTTTCCCACAATCTGTTAAGGTCAGGGTGGTATGCTTTTTGTCCTCTAGAATATTCTTGATACTACATCCACATAAAAATTTCATATCCATATAAAAATGTCCTTCCTACCTTCTCCACTTAACAAAATCCTACAATTCTTTAAGAACGCCTCTTCCAGAATACATTCCATCCCAACTAGAGTCAGCACTCTTTCTTTCTTTCATAAAACTCAGTACTCTGCTTTATACAGAAATTAATCACATATTCCCTGGAAAAGCCCTTGAATTCTGATCTAACTTCACACTTAATTTTACTTAAACACTCTCATCTAGATCTTGTCTGTCCAACTGTTTTATAAACTCACTCTGAGCAGAAATGATTTTTCATATTCCCATATTCTTTGGAATCCTTATTAGAGTATTAAAGTAAGTATTTATAGAATAATAGCCATCTACTTATAATGTGCCTTTATATTTTGCTCAGATACACCATTTTTGAAAAATGTCTTCCACCAAACTCACTTTGCAAATCAAGAAGAAGGAAGACATGAGGAGCATAAAAGCAAGGGACCCAATACCTGGAGAAGGCAAGGGGCTCTCATGCTAATGGTCAAACAGGGAGAGCTTGTGAATTCAAACTGGAKCAGATGAGCGCTGTCATCACCACTCTGAATGCTCTTGTTTTAACTTGACAAAACATACAAAGGACACACTCAAACAAAATGAGGAAATAACTAAAAGGGGGAAAAAAGAAAACACACACAAGATCCAGGACAAAGAGGTTCCACACTTTGTGAAAAGCAAAGGGAATGCCCGGTGTGGTGGCAAGGCAGCAGGCCTAGCAGCAGGACTGCCGAAGAGATGTCAACAAGATAAAAAAAAATTAGAAGTGATAGACTGCTTAACGTGATTGACTTTGTGGAAAATTACACTGACAGGCCATTGGAAAATGTAAGAAGGATTAGCACTAAGAGCAAAGAAAACAAGGCACACAAAAACAAGGCCGTTATTAATTTCAGACAAAGCAAACAGAGAGGAAACGAAATTATAGCTAACTTCAGTGTGTGGCTGCTAATAATGTTTGAACAAGAATAATCTGTCAACACGGAATATTACCTAAAAAAATCACTGACAAAAGGAAGAGAATAGTAGCATAAGAAAGCTACTTTTTTAAAAATATTTTTTTTTAGTTGTAGATGGACACAATATCTTTATTTTTATGTGGTGCTGAGGATCGAACCCAGTGCCTCAAACATGCCAGGCAAGTGCTCTACCTCTGAGCCACAATCCCAGCCCAAGAAAGCTATTTTCTTTATATTTACCAAACTAGGATGACAGTAGACAATGTCTAACATTAATGTATTGAAAGACAATAGCATACTTATTTTATTTGGAATATGGAAAGGTATAAATGACAAAAAGGGAAACTAAAAGAGGGGAAGAGTTTCATGAGTAGAGAAAATAACAACCATATTTTGTTTTAACCCTTTCAATGCATTTTGATTATTTTGTAATAAAATGCACATATTTCTTTAATTTTTAAAATTTAAAAGTCACCCACCAGAATTTGGTTGTTGTTGTTGGTGTTTATTCTCCTCTAATCCTACCCATATTTTCATTTTGGGGGGGGGGGCCTGGTAGCAGAGATTGAACTCAGGGGCATTCAAACACTGAGCCACATCCCCAACCCTATTCTATATTTTATTTACAGACAGGGTCTCACTGAGTTGCTTAGTGCCTCGCTTTTGCTGAGGTTGGCTTTGAACTCACAATCCTCCTACCTCAGCCCCTTGAGCTGCTGGGATTACAGGCATGTACCACTACACCCAGCATATTTTCAATTTTTAAACATCAACAGAAAACAGTATTAAGAATAACCAGATAAAGGCCATGCCAAAAAGGTACAAGAAAGCAAATAATTAAAGGAGTGCACACATGCAATTAATCTACCATGAACGGGCATGCCTTGTCTTATGAACACTCAATATATAAAATTCAGTAACTGTAAAATTTAGTAAAGCCAGATATTTTCACTCTCCACAAAGTCCTTTATTATTCAAGAATATTCATAGGTTTTGCTGCAACTGCTAATGGAAAAATAGATCATTACAGATTAGCTCTATTAAACTCTAGGAATGCCCAGACTAGAGAAAAGAAGGCAAACATTGAAGAACAACTAAAGATTCAGGCAGGGAATTCCATATACAAAAGACCTTTATATACTCAACAAATGTAAAGGACAAGACCAACAGGTAAGATAGAAAACCCAAAGTCATGCTGCAAAGGATAAGGAAGCTAAGAGGGCCATGAGCACTTGGCCTCAGACAGGATCCCACCGGATAGAGAACAGTCAGTCACACAGTCTGGGGACCAGTGGGATGTTATGAACCTAGAAAGTAGGGAACTGACTGTCAAATTGTCTCTTGGTCATCAGTGGAAAAAGA